GTATCTTCATATCCTTCAACAATTTTTTTTAAATATTTATTTATTTTGTATACAATATTCTGTCTGTGTGTATGTCTGCAGGCCAGAAGAGGGTACCAGACCTCTTTACAGATGGTTGTGAGCCACCATGTGGTTGCCGGGAATTGAACTCAGGACCTTTGGAAGAGCAGGCAATGCTCTTAACCACTGAGCCATCTCTCCAGCCCCCCTTCAACAATTTTTGGAGAGATTTACTCACATACTTCTTCCCCAGATGTCTTTCTTATCAGTTCTCCAATTCTGCTTTTTCCAAATTCCTGACCATCCAGAAATCCATTGGCTACAGCCCATCAATCAGTAAACAATTGCACATCTGATCATTCTTCCTTCCAAACAAAATGTATGGTGTACTGCCCAGAGTTCTGCCAACTGGGAAGGTTTCCCTTCCCTGGTGTCTTCCAGGGTTATCCCAGAATGAGGATATAATGTTGCAGCTGTGCACTTCTGGGTGGTACCTGAATGACACACTGACAACCAATCATAGGGAACACATACTTGGTAGCAGACAGCATTGTAATGGGAGTAGAAACGATAGACATTTGGGCAGCTTCTTCATGTAACTTGCTTGTGCCTTCAAGACCTGCTCAGGTACAATCACATATACATCACTTCCATTTGATAACAGATTGCTGCTGCTGTACATGTCCTACCTCATGACTTGATGGGCCAGTCAACACCCATCTCATAACAGGCTGCTCAGGTACCATGGTATCTTGGTGTCCCTTTGCCAAATGTTCAGTTTTCACTAAGGCTCAATAACAGCTGTCTCTCAAAGGGAAAATAGTTGTTTGCATATGATGGTAGAGCCTTGTTCCATAATCCCAAAGGTCACCTAAGGGACCTGCCAAAGGCTCCAAACAGCATCCCTATGTGCCACTAGCACCTCACATACCATTGGGTCTGCTGGATCATATGGTCCAAGTGGGAGAACAGCCTGCACAGCAGCCTGGACCTGCTGAAGAGCCTTCTCTTGTTGCAGGCCCCACACAAAGCTAGCAGCTTTCTGAGCCACTTGGTACGTGGGCTAGAGCAACACACCCAAACCAGGAATGTGCTGTTTCCAGAATCCAAATAGGCCCACTAAATGTGTTTCTTTCCTGGTGGTGGGAGGACCCAAGTGCAATAACTTATCCTTCACCTTAAAAGGACTATCCCTGCATGCCCCACAGCACTGGACTCTTAGGAATTTCACTGGGATAGAAGGCCCTTGAATTTTGGTTGGATTTATCTCCCATGTGCATATTGAACCAATGAGTTCAAAGTGGTTGCTACCTCTTGCTCACTTGGTCTAATCAGCATAATATCATCAATATAGTGTGTCAATGTAATATTTTTGTGAAAGAGACAGATGAACGACATCTCTTCTAAGTTATGGCACAGGGCTGGAGAGTTAATATATCCTTGAGGTAAAACTGTAAAGTTATACTGTGGTGGTTTGAAAGGAAATGACCCCCCAAAAGAAGTGGGACTATTAGGAAATGTGACCTTGTTGGAGGAAGTGTGTCACTATGGGGACAGGCTTTGAGGTCTCCTTTTTTCAAGTTTCCCTCAGTGTGACAGTCAGTCGACTTCCTGTTGCCTTGCACGATGTAATACTCTCAGCTCCAGCACCACATCTGCCTGCACCCCGCCATGCTTCCTGTCATGATGATAATGGGCAGAACTTCTTCCTTTTTTTTTTTAAAGATCTTATTTATTATGTACACAGTGTTCTGCCTCCATGTATGCCTGCAGGCCAGAAAAGGGCACCAGATCTCACTGTAGATGGTTGTGAGCCACCATGTAGTTGCTGGGAATTGAACTCAGGAGCACTGGAAGAACAGTCAGCATTCTTAACCTCTGAGCCATCTCTCCAGCCCTTGGGCTGAACTTCTAAAACTGTAAGTGAGCCGCCCTAATTAAATGTTTTCTATAAGAGTCACTGTGGGGCTGGAGAGATGGCTCAGAGGTTAAGAGCATTGCCTGCTCTTCCAAAGGTCCTGAGTTCAATTCCCAGCAACCACGTGGTGGCTCACAACCATCTGTAATGAGGTCTGGTGCCCTCTTCTGGCCTGCAGACATACACACAGACAGAGTATTGTATACATAATAAATAAATAAATATTTTAAAAAAAAAGAGTCACTGTGGTCATGGTGTCTCTTCACAGCAACAGAAAACCCTAAGACCTATACTGCTGCCCTTGCCAACTGAAAGCAAAGTGCTTCTGGGGATCCTTATGGACAGGTACCGAGAAAAAGACCTGCTAAGCAAACAGCTGCACATCATGTACTGTGAGATGTATTAATCTGCTCAAGCAAGGACACCGTATCTGGTACAGCAGCTCAACCAGAGTCAAAGTGTGTGCACAAACAGTGGCAACTGAAAATTACTAACCAGGCATGGTGGCACACACCTTTAATCTCAGCACAGGGGAAGCAGAGGCAGAAAAATCACAAGTTCAAGGCCAGCTCAGTCTACACACTGAGTTCCAAGCCACCCAGGGCTGCATAGGGAGACCTTGTCTCAAAAAATTAAACCGAGAGGGCTCAGTGGGTAAAGATGCTTCCTGCACAAGCTTGGCCACCTAGCTTTGACCCTAAGAACCACAGTGGAAGGACAGAAGTGACTTCTGAAAGCTGGCCTCTGACTGCCACACGCTTGGCTGCACTCACACTCCCACCCCACCGCTCTCCACCCAAACCCAGAAATGTACTGGCCTGAATAATAAACAATGTAGCACAGATAATAAAAACCCAGAGGCAGATATCAGGGTTCAACCTGGAGATCAGAAAAGCAAAAGCAGCCAAGCCATTAGAAAGCTCTACCTCTTTGATAACTTCAGACTGAAAGAGAAAGCATTCCTGTCTCATCCTGCCTCATATTCCTCTCTAGTGCTGGGATTAGAGGCGTGCACCACCACCACCCAGCCTCTATGGTTAACTAGTGTGGCTCCTGGGATTAAAGGTGTGTGTCACCACTGCCTGGTCTGTGTGGCTGACTAGTCTGGCCTGCTTTGCACTGACCTTCAGGTAAGTTTTATTTATTAAAACACAAATAATATACCACTATATTACAACTGTGGAAGCTTCAAAGTCCAAGATCAAGCCGTAGGTGTGATGTCAGCTGAGGACCTCACAGGTCGCATGCCTTTCTCCTGTGCCCTCGGATGGTCGGTCACATTGTACAATGGCAGAGGGCATAGGGAGGGAGCAATTTTTAACTATGTGGGGGAAGGAGCTGCACCCGTGTGCACATGCTAAGATATGCTGCTGTCGCTTCCTGCCTTGTTCCATTATGGATGACCAAGTCTCTTTCATTAAAACAGGAGCTAGGCTGGCTTTCTGTGTGGCTTTCTCTGTGGGCACTGGGGATTTGAACTCAGTACCTCACACATGTGCAAATGCTCTTGCATGCCTCGATAGCTCCCCAGCCCCTCTCAGAAGTATCTTTGACAGGGACTCTAATCTCATTCATGAGGGACTTGCCCTTTTGACCTAATCCCTCCCAACACACATCTAATGCGGCTACCTCTGGGTTTAGAGCTCCAACAGATAACCTAACCCACAGCAGGTGGTGAGACCACAGATGTACGTTGTCCCCAAGCTCAGATCAAAGTTATACACTCGGTATCACCAAGCATTTGGCACCTGCATGATCAAGCTGTTACAACTCAAAAAAACAGGAAGAGGCACCAGTACACACTGAGCCCCACAAACAGGCCCTGCTTCCATCTCTCTGACCTGACAGGCTCCATCTTTTTCCTGGTTGACTATGCTACAGAAATGTTGTTTCTTGCCAGCTGGTGGTGCATGCCTTTAATCCCAGCATTTGGGAGGCAAAGGCAGGCGGATCTCTGTGAGTTCAAAGCCAGCCTGGTGTACAAGAGCTAGTTCCAGAACAGGCTCCAAAGCTAGAGAAACCCTGTCTCGAAGAAAACAAAAAAAAAAAAGAAGACATGTTCTTGTTTCTGGAAATGGCCAATTCATTTTCTATCTCAGGGGCTTTTCGTTGTTACATTTGTGTGTGCGTGTGTATGTGCCCACGCATGTGTGCAAATGCAGGTGTCCACTCATGCCACAGCACGCGTGGAGGTCAGAGGACAATTTGCAGGAGTGAGCTCTCTGTTCACCATAGGGATGGAACTCAGATCTTCAGCCTTGGCAGAAAGCACCTTCACTCCTGAGTCTTCTTGCCAGCCCCCCCCCTTTGGATTCTAGGAAAGGGCTCTGCCACTGAGGCACACCCTGGAACCCAGTCTCTAGACTTGGCCTTTCCTGCCATCCCCTAGCTGTCCTCACCTCTGATTTCTGAAGAGGCCCACTCTAATCAGTGTCTGCATCCCAACCCTGGCTTTCTGCCTGAGAGGCTCTGAAATGATCCCAAGGCTATGTTTTTGTTTTGGAGACTGAGTCTCATTCTACTATAGCCCTGTAGGCTGATCTCCTGAAAACTGGTCACGCCTGGCTCACAGATATGTTTACTTTAGACTCCTGCCATCTACACTTCCAACTGCATCTGCTCACTGTGTAGCCCCGTACCGAGAACGGTGCCTGCAAAGGGCTGGTAATGTGCCTCAGTGGGTAGAGTGCTTGCCTGGCACACTCGAAACCTTGGCTTCCATCCTCAGCATCCCATAAACAGAGAGTGGCAGTATACACCTAAATCCTAGCACTCGGGACTTGAAAGTCATCCTCAGTTACACCTGGAGTTCAGGGTCACTAATGAGCTCCTGTCTAAAAATAATAGCCCGGCAAGGCTGCTGAATGGTAAAGGCACTGGTCACCAAGTCTGAGCACTTAGGTTTGATCCCTATGACCCACAGGAGAGAAGGAGAGAACTGATCCCTACGGTGTCCTCTGGCCTCCACATGTTTGTTACAGCACAAACACATGAACACAAAACAAGGAACTGTAATAAAGGATAAATAAAACGTGAGTAAGTACTGGGGAGGAGCAACCCTCGTTAAATAAACGGAATACACTTTGAAAAAACATTATTTTTCTTTAATAGTAAAATACTATATACTGTAGAAAACTTGGAAAAGGCAGGATACAAAATACAGAAAATACCATTGAGAATCCTTTTGAACACTAGGACAATTCAAAAGCTTGTCTTCCTTGCCCCCTGACCTCATTTCCCAAGCATCTGGCAGACAACCAGGCAGACCTCAGAGCCCTGAACTCTGCCCACCTGCACCCTGAAAACGGCCCCTCTGTAGTGGTCTTCTGGGGTCCTTTAGAGATGAAGGCTATCCAGGACTCCAAGTGTTGCTCAGGAGCACAGTAGTGCTGGCCTAATGTACCTAAGGCCGTGGGTTTGATCCCCAGGTACTGGGGGGAAGGGTGGAGGGTAAAGATATGCAAATGAATCATGAGGTAGCAATGATGCCTGTTCCTAAATGTGTGAACTGGGCCTCCCAGAGACCGGGTGACAAGGCTGAGGACATCCAGATGACAGAAAACCCCAGCTCTGCAGGCCCCAAGGTCCTGGCTTCTTTTCCTTGTGACCTCCAGTTTCCTCAAGCCTGATTAATGTACATGCTTCAGTTTGCTGCTGAGAAGGTCAACTTTAAAAGCTAGATAGATCCCAGGGATGGATGGGTGGTACCTTCACATCCACCAATCCATGGATTCTTTGGGACAGGCCCTGACAATAACCATGCAGTGGGGTAGGCCCTTGCACAGGACCTTCTCTGCCTCCTGGCCCTCCCAGCCCAGCCCTTGCACCTCAAGCACTCTGAGTTTAGGCATGGTGAGGCAAGAGGACACAATCTGAGCAGGTGTAGGCATTTCTGGGGTGATGAGGGGTCCCTGGAAGCACAAACTCTCCAGGGCAGGCATTCCTTCCAGGAAGACCAGGCCTTGAGCTGAGAGGCCTCCAACGGTCAGCCGAATCTTACGCACATCTCGGAGGTGGCGGCTGATGGCCAGCAGGGTGCTGTCGGCTGACAGGGTACAGCCCAGCACCTCCAGTCTCTGCAGGTAGCTGAGCTCCTGGAGGCTGGCATCTAGCCCGGTCTCGGTGACCCGGTAGGTGCCGCCCAGCACCAGCGAGCGCAAGGCTCGGAAGCGGGTGAGGCCCTGCAGGTGCTCATCCCGGAAGGCTGGCACTCGGTCCAGCACGATGCATTCCAGCAGTGGCAGCACTGTGGGATCCTGCTCCTTCTGCAGCCAGATCATCGAGATCTCGCAGCTGTGCAGCTCCAGGGTCCTCAGCGTGCTGGGCAGGCTGGTGATAGGCACCATGCTCAGGTCAGCCACGTGCAGGCACAGGCGCTTCAGGTTGGGGCACTTCTGGCCCAGGGCCCGCATCAAGGCCGGGGACAGCTGTGGGGCCTGAGAGCCAGAGAACAGGTAGCCACCCATGCGCAGCGAGTGCAGCCTGGACGCCATGTATCGGCGCAGAAGGTGCCACATGACTTTCGGACGCATCTGTAAGAGCCAGAGATTGGGGTGACTGGGTGAGGGGTACAGGGGCTCTTAGAGACCTACCTAACTGGTGACAGACATGCATGGGATCTGGGTTCTGGTGGCCCCTGGGATTTGGCTCTTCCACCAGTTTCCTTCCCTAAAGCTGGGTAACATGTCCTCAAACCCAGCCAGCACACAGGGGAGACTGAGGCAGGAGGATCCACAGTTTTGGCCAGCCTGTCTAGTCAATCAGTAGGCTCCAACTTCATGGAAGAGTCTGTCTCAAACACAAGCAAACAGTCCAGAGTTGTGGCACACACCTTTGATCCCAGCACGGGTGGGCATGGAGGCAGGGGGATCTCTCTAAATTCCAGGCTAATCTGGTCTACATACCAAGTTCAGGCTACACTACATAGTGAAACCCTGTGTCAAACAAAACAAAGCAAGCAAACAAACAAACATGTGTGTGCACAAATGTGTGAGAGAGAGAAAGAAGCTGAAGAAGATGCCCTTCAGTAACCTCTGGCCCTACATGCTCTTGAACACATGCATTTGCACCTGTGCATACACAAAAATGTACACTTTTTCCAAAAAGAAGAAGAAAAGCTACACAGAACAAGAGATTCATTGCTGGTGTTGGGATGGAATCCAGGACATGCTGTGAACTCAGCCTCACCAGTTTGGAGCATACCCTTGTTTTTGTTGGCACTGGAGAATGAACTCAGGGTGGCTGGCATACAGGCCAGGAAAACATGCTAGAACAAAGTCACAGTTCCAAGTCTTTTCTGAATTTGTATTTCAAGACAGGGTCTAGCTAAGTCTCCCTGGCTGGCCTTGAATTTATGGTCTTCTTCCCTCAGCCTGTGTGTGTGTAGTAACTGGGATCATAGGCCTGTACCAGGCTCAGCTTTACAGTAGAGATTTTGTTGACCACTTTTTCAGAGAGAAATTAAATCTTTTTCTTTTTTTAAAAAATTATTCTGTGTAGTTGCTGGAGAGATGGCTCCTCCTTTTGAAAGGTGTCTTGAAATATGACTTTCTCTATTCTGTTACTATAAAATTTCACTGGGCGGTGGTAGTAACACTTTTAATACCAGCACTCAGGAATCTCTTGAGTTTGTTAGGGTCCAAGAGAAATCCCAAAGGAAAGACCAACAGCCATGTATGCAACAGCAAGAGCGCTTTATTAATTCCAACGTTGGAATTAATACATGGCAAACCCCCAAGAAGGTCAAAAGCTTCTTTGAAGTGGAGTTAGAGGAATTCCAGGGAGGAAGGATTTATCTGATTGGTGGAGGAATGATGAGTCTGGGGGCTGACTGGTGGAAGGTCCTAGTGGTTAGGGACCTTCCAGCAGCAGGATACAGAAGCTATCTCTAGTTATCAGGAGACTTGGGGTGGGGGGGGGCGCCTGTGAGTCAGCAGAAGGGGTCATGGGATACTTGCTGAGCTAGCAAAAGGCTGTGGGGCGCCTGCTGATTGGTTGCTCCTCAGCTGTGGTTTTCCTGAGGACTGTCTGCTTAGCTCTGTCCCAATTTAGTGAACTGAATCTGAGGCCTGGTCTCTGTCAGGGCTACTAGGAGAGCCTGGCCTCTAGCCTCCCCCCACCCCAAGTCCTCTCAGAGTTCAAAGCCAGTCTGCTTGGTCTAGAGAGTGAGTTCCAGGACTCACACAGAAACCCTGCCTCAAAAATAAATAAATAAATAAAATTTCATGTAACCATTAGGTTTAAACATGTATTTGAGGAAGACTAACTGTATTCTCAAGACACAGTCACTCACATCTGGCTCCAGAATAAACTCTTGTCCATTTTATCCACTTTGAGATGAACAGTTATAGCTAGAATCTATTTTGGGCTACATGAGATCCGTCTCAAAAACCAAAAGAGAACAAAACCAAAAAATCAATAATAGCTATAAGTTTTCATTTATCATATGCTGGAGACCGGATATGGTCTAAACCATCTCCCTATGCAACTGGCTAAGTCCTACAATACATCAGACAGGCAGGTACTTTTTCTTATCTCCTGGTGTTAGGGATAGAGTCCAGGGCTTCACTAGGGTCAAATAAGCACTCTTTTTAATCCCCATTTCTTGGATGAGAAACTGAGGTCTGGGGGTTGCTGAGAAGGTATGGACTAGTGCCAGGATAGACATGCAGGAAATCACAACATGAACTCACTTCAAAACCAAACCAACCAAGCTCGGCAGTGGTGGTGCACACCGTTAATCCCAGTATTTGGGACTCAGAGGGAGGTGGATCTCCTGAGTTCGAGGCCAGCCTGAACTACAGGGCAAGTTCCAGGACAGCCAAGGCTGTTACACAGAGGAACCCTGGAAAGAAAAGAAAAGGAAAGAAGGAAGGAAAGAAAGAAAGAAAGAAAGAAAGAAAGAAAAAACCAAAGGAAGGAAGGGAGGGAGAGGAGGGAGAGGAGGGGAGGGGAAGGGAGGGAGAGAGGGAGGGAGGGAGGGAGGGAGGGAGGGAAAACCAAACCAGCTGGGCACGTCGGTGCAAGCTCCACCTTTAGAGCCAAAGGAAGGAGGATAAAGTGAGTTCCAAGACAGCCGGGCTACAGAGAAATCCTGTCTTGGGCGAGGGGGGCAACAAATAAAAAACAAGTCTACGGCCATACCACCCTGAACGCGCCCGATCTCGTCTGATCTCGGAAGCTAAGCAGGGCCGGGCCTGGTTAGTACTTGGATGGGAGACAAATAAAAACCAAATACTTCTGGGCCAGACAAGGTGGCCTACACCTGTGTAATCTTAGCACCAAGGAGGTTGAGGTCAGGGGTAGCGAGCTGGAAGCCCTCGGCCCAATCAGTAAAGTGCTTTCCTAGCTCTCAGGGAGCCGAAATTTCATTGCCAGCATCACAGAAACCGGTCACAGGGACCCACACTGGTAATCCTTGTTTTAGAAGGTCGAGGTGGATCAGAAATTCAAGATTATCCTCAGCTTCTTAAGGAAGTGTGAGGTCAGTCAGGACTAGAGACCCTGTGTCAAAACAACCTCCCCTCCCCCAAAGAAACAAAAAAAAATCTAGAAAGAAAAATTAATAAACAAATAAAACGAGCAAATAAACACTAGAAAGCAAAACATAGCGAACCCCACTTCTGGGCAGGAGGCTGGCTCTCCGTGAACTGTCCGCGGGTCCCGCCTATCGCATACCGTGTAGAGCGTCAGGTCGACATGTCGCCACAACCACCGGTCGTCCACTAGCTTCTTCCAGCGGTGACAGACCCTGGAGGAGTGGACCGGCCATTAGAACGACCCCGGCCTGATGGGACCGGATTCGCATCTCCTGCTGAGCCCCTGCCCGGCTCTTTCCCCCGAGGAGCGGGGCCGCACCTGGAGATGCGGATCCGGTCCCGGACCGGGAGGTATGAGAAGATCTCCAAGAGCACCAAGTCTGGGAGGTCAAACAGCGTCGCCATGGTCCTGCTGTCCTGCGCTTCCGTTTCCGGTGGCGGCAAGGCCCGCGCTCCCCTGAGGGCGCTGAGGTGGCCGGACTGGCCAAACCGGTGCGACTTTCGGACGCCTGCAGAGGAGCACTACCTTCCTTTCCTAGGGTAGAGGCTGAGGCCCCGGGGCTGAGCCGCCCGGCTGGAAGACCAGTGGTAGGCAGGGACTGGAGACTGAGTAGGCCAGACTTGAGCAGCGGTGAGGCTGGGGGAGGCAAACCGAGGTGTGGCTTGGGTGAGGAGGGGATACAAGGCGTGGCTAGAGCCAGGATGGAAGGCGGACAGCAAACCCAGAAGGCGGGCTCGGGGCGTCCCGGGGGCGTGGCCAGAAAGTGTCGCTAAAAACATGCAGCTAACCCAGAGGGGGCCAGGGGGCCAAGGGGCCACCCAGAAGGCGTGGCTCCGGCAAGGAGGGGGGCTCAGGGCGTAGCCAGAGCCTGGAGACGTGGCGAGCCAAGGCCAGCAGACGAGGTTCGGAAAGCGTCTGGCCTAGAAGGCGAGGCTCCGGCAGGAGGGGGTGTGGCTCTGGGGCGTGGCCAAGCCCAGGGAACGGGGCAGAGGAAACCCCGAAGGCGGGGCTTTAGGGGAGGGGAGAGGAAGGGAGACAGAGAAAGCAGCGAGAGAGACAGGTGTGTGTGGGGGGGTATGTTTGGGGAGTGAAAAGCCTCGACAGAGTGGACGGGTGTAGCCAGGGGCAAAGGAGCAGCAGGAGGCAGTCAGGCGTAGCTTCGGCAGAAAGAGACAAAGGGGCGCGCAGAGTCAAGGGACTAGTGGCGTGCTCAGAAGGCTGTACTAGAGCTGAAAGAGGTTTAGGGACGTGACCAAGGCAGAGACCAGACTGGGAGCAGATCGTATGCCCAGAGGGCAGGGGAAAGCTAACAGCAGCAAGCCGAGAAATCGTGACTTGAGTGGGAAGGGGCTCAGAGGTCTATCAAGAAAGAACCAGGGGGCCAAAGAGCAAACTTGTAAAGCCTAGCTTAGGCGGAACAAGGTCCGATACAGGGGATGAAGGCAAGTTTGGAATGGGTGGGCGGCACAGGGAGGGATTGGGGGAACAGTCAGGACTGGAGGAGTGCCTAAGACTTGGGACGGAACCCTAAAAACATCGCTGGAGGCAGAAGCAATGGATGAGCAAGGAGCTAGGTGTCCAACTCAGTGGGAGAGCCCTTGGCTACATGCTAGAAGGCCCTAGGTTCGATCTCCTACATCAAAAAAGAAAGAAAGAGAGGGAGAGAGGGAGGGAGGGAGGGAGGAAGGGAGAAGAGAAAAAAGAAAAAAAAAAGAAAAGAAACCCCACTTTTCTGGTACGTATGCACGAGTCTGTGGCTCACTCTCCATAGAGCCTGGGAAGTATTTTGGAAACGGAAATGAGGCATTGGTGAGAAGATGGAACAGACTAAAACACTAAGGACTTCATTCCAGACCAAAAAGTGTAAATGCGGTGAGGCTGAGGGGCCGGCAGGCCTGCCAAGCCAGGAAGGCGTGGCCACAAGCAGCAATAAAAAGCGAAAGTAATGCTTTTTGCTGCCTAAGCATAAGGATAAAATTTGTATAAGTGGTATTAGCTAAGCACAAGGCCCTGGTAGATTTTTTTCTTTTTCTTTTTTAAAAAGTGCGCTTAATCTCTGAGCCATCTCTCCAGCCCCTTTTTCTTTTGAAACAGTCTCTCTGCAAAGCTCTATCCTGGAACTCGCTATATAGACCAGGCTGGCTTCTAACACACAGGCCTCTACAATACCAGCAACTTTCGAGGCTGGACACGAGTATCACAACTTCGAAGTCAGCTTGGTCTATACACCGATACCCTATCTCAAAAAAAATCAAGCTAATTTTAAAAAATGAGTCAATATGTGCTTACCTTACTAAGAGTCCTGTCTGCTCTTAAAGGAATCATTCAGTAGAATCAGTAGAGGTGAAAACTGGTTGAATGTAGTATGGGATTCCTCTCCCATCACCTATCGCGGTTCTGTAATCTGGAACAAGGGGACCCTTGAAGATTTTTTAAAAAGAAAAAAAAGCAGATCTTTTCTGGTAAGCTGTTTCCAGCATCTTCGCAGGCAAGACACGGACGTACGGTGTGGTGTGCAACATGGCTTTCCGGCTTGATTTTCATCAACTGCGGTCTGCACCACTCGGGTCTCGGAAACAGTTACTCCGGTCAGAGGGGAAAGGCAGGCCCAGGGTCCGAGACCGAGCTTTGAATGAAAGCAGAGAGCCCGAAAGCCACTGGACCTGCATGACTCCAGTTCCGCCCCTCCGCAGCCGGGATTCTTCGGCAGGTTTATTTGGCTTGGGGATGGCAGAGCACCCCGCCTCTGAGGATCCTCTGGGCCTCCTCCACAACGAAGGGATCTCCAACATCGCTTTCAACGTCGGCTGTAAATCCACAAGGATCGTCATTTAATCTCAGCCTTTTTACCCAGCCTCTGCTCACCAAAACTGCGCCACAGAATCGCCCGGAACCTGGAAGCAACTGAGGGCGAGTGTTTCCGTTATAGCACTTCCGCTTCCTGTTGCTTGCCTTAAATCGGGTCAGAGCTCGGCGTTCGAGGTAGGAGTTGTGTCGTCGATAAGTTCGAGGGGTTTAGAGGTGAGCGAGCTAAACCGAGAGGCCCGGGATCACGGGAAGCGGCTGGGACTCGGAAGGTTAAGGGATGCGGGAGGCGAAACCAGGGGGTGCGGGGCTGGGCCTGCGGGAGTTAAGGAGCAGAAGACGCGACTGACTAGCGTCCGCGCCATTGAAACCCTGGACCAGGGCTGCGGCGGATTTGTGTCCGGTGTTCTGGGTAGCGTAACCAAAGAACTTAACTCGGGAAAGTTCCTTGGGTGTCTGGGCGACCCGCAAAGTCCTGTTTCTGCTGCCTTCCCTCCTCTCCCTCTACCCGGCGTAGGTCCAGCAACAATGATTGAGGTGGTTTGTAACGACCGTCTAGGAAAGAAAGTCCGCGTCAAGTGCAAGTATCCTCCGAGGGGTAACTAACTGGCAGTGGTCTCTGGGGCAGTTGGCGATGGTGGGGAAATTGTAGTTAAATGACGTAGATGGGGAGGCCTAAATATCATCTTCCTCGTTCTATCTCTTCCATCCATTTACCTTAACTCCTTCGTGCCCAGCACCGATGACACCATCGGGGACTTGAAGAAACTGATAGCGGCCCAAACTGGCACCCGGTGGAATAAGATCGTTCTTAAAAAGTGGTAAGTGCGCTGGTCCTCATTAGGCTAGAAGGTTTCGGTTGGGGGAGCTCCTCAGGCAACCCCCATGAAGGATCAGCTACGCTTTCAAGACAAAAGCCCACCCCCACCCCACCCACCAAAGCAGCTTCTCTCTGAATTGTATCTGTCCCTTAGGTACACGATTTTTAAGGACCACGTGTCTCTGGGAGATTGTATCCTTTTCAGTTCTGGTTCTATACTGAAACCTGTAGGGAAATTAGGAAAGTGGGATATTTAACTTAAAATGTGGCCTGTTGTGGCTACTAAGAAAATGGGTACTATAGAATTATTTTGTTGTTGAGAAGGGTGGTAGAATAGTTTAACTTGGTTCAGAAGGATTTTAACATCCAGGTTCAAAATATTTATGACTGAGCACCACATGGTTGTTGGACAGGGAGGTGAGGGCGGAGTGTAACTCAGAGGTGACTGTAGTTGACAACCAGTATGATTTTTTAAAATTGGGGGTGAGGTTCTGCAGTTATGTCTGTGCACCACGTGCATGCTTGTTGCTGGCAAGAAAGCTTCAGGTTCCTGGAACCACCACGTGCGTGCTGGGAATTGAACCCAGTTCCTCTGGGTGCTCTTCAACTGCTGAGATCTCCCTCCAGCCTGAGTATGAACCTTTAAGAAAATGTGTTGTTTCTGTGTGATAGTGGGGGGGGGGGGCACCTGAGAATCTGACTACACCAGTGCTCTTCAGGGCTACTCTACATTATTTATAGCTTGAGTTCTTAGATCAAAGTGCCCATTCCAAAATTGCTTCCTTAGTCCAGGGTTGGGTGTTGAGCCCAGGATCCAGCTGTGAGTGTTTAGAGGGGTAGAGTCAGTCCTCAATGACAATTCCTTAATACCTGTCTTCAGATGAAATCCATGATGGGATGAACCTGGAGCTGTATTACCAATAGACGGGAATTCCTTCTCCTTGCCTCCCCTGCCTTCCTCTCCCACCCTCATTTGACACTGGTATAGATGCCCATTTTTAACAATTCATATGAATAAAAACTTCAGTGCTGCTTTGTTGCTGTCATATTTGTGTGAAAGTTGTATCGTGAGGGAGAGCTGGTGTCTGGTGGTTGAAAGACCCCCGTCCAGCTTGCTAAGCAGCTTAGCACCAGATGAAAGACCCCCCCCCCGCCCCCCGCCCAGCTTGTTAAACAACTTAGCACCAGTAACGCCATTTTACAAGGGCTTGTACTGAATATTCAGGGTTTGAACAAAGGGCAGTTTAGAAGCTGCCAAAACGAGATAGACACCTGTAGCTGGGCTGGGGGAGGAACGGGGAATACCGAGAATGTGGCTGGGCGTCGTCTGTCCCAGGCAGGGAGGAATGGTGAATACCGAGAAAGACACCCTGTCTGCCCTATATACGAGCCAAGGCAGCCCATATCTGAATTCTCGGGAACTAGGGACCTTGTCCCGACCTGAACTCGGCCACATTCAAACTAACCAATAAAAACCCTGTAACTACGCTTCTCGCTTCTGTACCACGCTTTTTGCTCCCCAAAACATATATAAACCCATTACCCCTACCTGGAGGCGCACAAGTCCTCCGAGAGACTTTGTCGCCCCAGGTACCTGTATATAATCTGAATAAACCTCTTGCTGTTTGCATCCGTACAAGTCGTCTCACTGTTCCTTGGGAAGGGTCTCCCCAGAGGAAAGACACTCCTGGAGGGTCTTTCAGTGGTTACAGTCTTGTATGTGACTAGAGGCTGGACCTGGTGCTGCACATGTGACATCTCAGCCCTTGGGAGATGGAGGCAAAAGGATCAGGTGTTCCAGGACATCCTTGGCTACATGAGACCCGGTCTCAAAAATCTGCTGAAGTCATGATGGAGTAGCCTAGTAGAATGGGACCCAGAGCTCTGCTGTTGGGTTTGAGTCACCAATGGGCAGAGATCCTATGAGTATTGTCACCCTCATATATCATTAACCTGCATAAGGAGGGTAGAGACACGGCTGGAACTCTGTAGCTTTGGAGCCTGTCCTGGAACCAGGCTGGCCTCGAACTCACAGAGATTCGCCTACCTCTGCCTCCCGAGTGCTGGGATTAAAGGCATGCGCCACCACTGCCCGGCAGGTGTACACTTTTAATCTCAGCATTTAGCAGGTAGAAACAGGAAGATCTCTGGGGCTTGCTAGCTAGCCAGTCTATCTTAATTGGTGTGCTTTAGGCCAAGAACTGTCTAAAAGGAGGTAGATTGTGTTCCTAAAATGACACTCAAGGTTGTCCTCTACCCTCCACATCTAAGCACTCACAGAAACACATCCTACATTCTTGTGAAAACAAACAAAGCTATGTTGAGTGGCCAAAGTAGGACCAATCTAAGCAAGAAACCCCATCTGAAAAAGTGGAAAGCAGCTGGGTATGTAGCTAGTTGGTAAAATCCTAAAATTGCTTTTATCGGCTATTTTGTTATAGGAGTGAGAAAAGTAGCACAATGGGCTACAATGATCTGTTTTAAAACCCACTGTACTAGGGTTCTGTAGAGAAACAACTGGCAGGATGAAGACACAAACACTCGGGGTTTGTTAGAGGCTTACGGTTATGGTCCAACTACTCCAACGGTGGCTGTCTCAGGGTAAAGGCCAGGAATCTGTGAGGCAGGATTTCTCAGCTAGTCTTGAGTTACATGCCAGAATCCTGAAGAAGTTCTAATGCCAGCAAAGAAGTGGACCTGCCAGGGAGAGTGGGTGAGCAAGCAAAGAGCAAGTGCTTCCTTCTTCATGGCTTATATGGGCTGCCAGTTGGAAGGGATGGCCCAGATTAAAGGTGGCTCTTCCCAACTCAAAATATTAAGGTTTAGGGTGGCTTTCCCACCTCAAATGATCCAATCATGAAAGAAAATTCCTCACAAAGTGTACCCAGCTGCTTGAGTTTTAGTTAATCCCAAATGTAGTCAAGTTGACAACAAAGAATAGCCATAACACCCACATATATAAGTAAGTATATATTTACATGTATACTATTTGGATTTAAATTTTTTGTTACATTTTTACTTATGTTCATGTGTGTGCATGTGACGGAACAGACATCCATATACCATGGTATGCATTTGAGTTCATGTATGAACCTGTGCCATGGCCTGCTTATGGAGGTCAGACGACAATCTTCGCTGTCAGTTCTAGCCTTTTACCTTGTTTGAGATTTGGTGTCTTTGTTACTTACTACTTGTACTTGAGGCTAGCTGGGAAAATTAGATAGATAGATAGATAGATAGATAGATAGATAGATAGATAGATAGATAGATGCAAAAGGGGGAAATTAGATGATAGATAAATAGAGGCTAGAGGGGAAGATAGATAGATAGATAGATAGATAGATAGATAGATAGATACTAGCTGGGAAAATTAGATAGATAGATCGATAGATAGATGCAAAAGGGGTAAATTAGATGATAGATAGAGGCTAGAGGGGAAAATAGATAGATAGATGATAGATAGGTAGATAGATAGATAGATAGATAGATAGATAGATATGGATAGAGGCTAGCTGGGAGAATTAGACATGTATATATATAGTCCCAGGGAAGTCCTAGAGAGCTGCCAGTTTCCAGTCTTTTTTTTTTTTTTTTTTTTTTTTGGTTTTTCGAGACAGGGTTTCTCTGTGGTTTTGGAGCCTATCCTGGAACTAGCTCTTGTAGACCAGGCTGGTCTCGAACTCACAGAGATCCACCTGCCTCTGCCTCCCGAGTGCTGGGATTAAAGGCGTGCGCCACCACCGCCCGGCTAGTTTCCAGTCTTTTGGGATGCCAAAGAAGTGGGCA